TCCCCCCCCCCTTTTTTTTTTTTTTTTAATTTATCTCTTCTCAGGAGCATTGGTCTGTCTTAAATGCCTTTCTTACCTCAAATTTCCTTCTTGGAGAGGAGATAGCGTGAAGGGTTGGACAGATTATATAGGAACAGCAAAGTTCAGTAGTAAATATAATGTATAGTAGACATTGGTAAAGATTCATTGTGAAGCACTATGTGTCATAGGTAGGTCACTGAGCCAGATATCATATCTCAGGTTACTTCATTTGGCTGGCGATTATTCAACGGAACGTTTTATCAAAATAGATTTAAAACACCGCAGGAGCCAGAAGTTGTAGTTCTTTCTCTACTCCATGAGCATTAATAAAATTCCTTATCTCTGTTCTCTGGCGAAAGATTAAAATATTCTGATTGGTCTAATCATCATCTACAGACTAGTATTGCACTGCTACTCTACTTTGGGAATAGAGTGCCTGTTGAACTTCTAGTAAAGCATATTTCAAAGCAGTGCAAAAAGTTAATGATATTAATGATCAGCATTCCTCAGAAAACACTGGAGACAGATATTTAATAAAAGTGATTGCAACTTCGTGTATTATTTAATGGAGGTTTTTTCAGTGGTGCTATATTGATGGATACCAGCATTTTATAGTCCTTTACAAACAGCACAAAATCGCATGTTGAATTCATCTGCCTGCCTTCATCACTTGCCATGAAAAAACAGACACTGGATGTCTTCTGTCAGTGTAGGGTATCTGTTCTTCATTTGGTTAATCTATTCCTTTCCATTTCAGTGTGACCAGTAGTTAATTACATACTAGCATGTCCTGTAGTATTGTATTTCTTTTCCTATAAGCTTAATTGCCCCAAACTGTACAACTGTGGGGGTATGGAGTTCTCCACCAGAACTGGATTGAAGCCCCAAGTAAGAAATTCTGTGAGTGCTTGTTTTCTGTGCAGGCCTGGTGTGATATAAGTTCCAATAAAAGCCTTTATACTTGTATGAATTCCTTTATGCTTGCAAAAATGCATTTTAAATTGAAGTAGTTGTAATGGTATGTATGGTATGATAGCATATTATGGGAAAAAAGTCTTTGTTATTGACTGGCAAAATTTGACAGTCCATGGTAAGTAATTTGTTAAGAATAAATTCAGCTTTACATGGGAGTACGGTTTCTCCTGAAGTTTAAAAAGTCTGCAGGAAGATGGCTTGTCATTTCAGGTTTAATCACTAATTTATCAGTAACTTCTCTGATGAAAAGGAATAATATTGTTCACCAGAAAGTTTAAAAGCTTCTAATTCTCTGGATTTCATCAGCTGTGAAACTAAGGATTTGCTGAGATTGCTAGTGTCAAATGTAATGAATCTGATTAGAACAGAGTCATCTTCTTCACCAGAGGTGGTTGTACTCTTCCTTTCTCTTGACATTGTGTTACGTCGTGTCTGTAAGAGCAGCCATTTACATTCCTGATCAAGGTGTGTTGCAAATGTTTAGTGTAGGAGCTGTTTCATGCTAAACTTTTAAGTTACATGGGGCTCCACAGCATCTTGTGTTATTTGTGACAAGCCTGTTACTGTCAATTCTGCATTTTTTGATTTGTCATAATAAAAGCTTAGACTTGAAACCTCTAGCTTCAAATCACTATGGAAGATAGGAGATTGCATTATTATCATTGACACTTACTGCTGTTCATTGTGCCACACTCTTACAATAGCTTAATGACACTAAGTTTTGTTCCCTTTTGAATACAGATGAAGGAAGTGCAGCACAGGTCAGAGTCACATAAAACTTTCAAAGGTTAAGGCTCAGCTTTGGGAATAAATCACTTCAGAAAATACTTCATAGTGCAGTGATGCTAGCAAAATCAGCTATGACATAGTATCTTTCTGCATGTCATTGCTAGTGGCTAGTATTAAAATTTATATGGCTGGAAATACTGGATGTGATTTGTAGGTTTTTTTGTTTTGGTCTCTAAAAGATAGACATTAGGCAATCTTGTATTTTATCCCAGTGTAGTATCTCTCTGGAAAAGAGCAAGCTAATTGTTTATCTATTAGTAGGATAGAAAGTAGAGTGTATGGCCTTATAAACAGTGTGTTAAGATACATGTCGGTCTAAGTGCAATATTTATTGTCTATCAACAGAAATATGTGCCATCTCTGAAAATGTCTCTATGAAAAGGCAGATGCCTAAAAATGCCAGTCATTTGTCATCTGTGGATAAGTTGTTGGCTTACCTTTAGTGTCACTTTAGCTTTTCAACGTGGTCAGGAGCACTTGGTTTCTGTCCTTCATGCAAATCAAATTTATGTGGAGAGCAGAAAGCTTTGCTTGTAAAAAGGCAGAAATTGTGAAATGTTTGTTTAAAAGCTTCATGTGCTGTATGGAATTAGCATATTAATCTATTTCAGGTAATGCCTGAACTGATTGTTCTTGTTGTATGTATGGCTTTACAAAGATGAATTAAAAACATTTTAAAAATACTGTTATTTTCTATGTTGCTGGATTAGAAAATGACCATCATCTAACATTAAAACACAAACCTGAATTTGTAGTTCTTCAAAATTTTGAATTAATTTTCCTAATTTCTTTTCAGATAACAGAAGATTTCCTGGCAACATATCATGCCAACTATGGCTTCAATGCAGATGATATAGACAGTTCATCTGCTTCTGGCACAGCAACTGAAAGTAAGCAACCAGTAAGTTCTAAGACATCAGGAACGCAACCATCAGCAAATGAGAAAGGACCACAACAAACAGATCCAAAACAAAAAGCAGAAAAACGGAAGCTTGAGCCAGGTAAATGACAAACGGTTTCCCTCTGTGTGGGCTGCAGCCTGAATAGTACCAAGTGGAAACTGGCAATTGTTTGGTGTTATTGTGTACAGCAAAGATATGGGAGGTTCTGGAAGTTTCCAGAATGATTTGAAATTGTATGGTACTTCATAACTATCCTACTAAGTCCATATACGGGGGGGGGGGCGAGCAAATTAAAATGCGTTCAGAGCTTTTCCTGTGAGCAAGCAAAAATGCTTAGAAATCTGACAGAATGTGAACATTAGTGGATGCTCCCATGTTTAATATATTGGCGTAACTGAATTAAAACTCTTGCTTTTAGGTTGGTTTCATGTTGAAGAAGACAGAAACACAAATGTTTACGTGACTGGTAAGTAATAGTGTTTATTTCTCTACTTCGAGCTGAAGATGGGACATATAAGGGACATATTCCATGCTTTTATCTTTTAAATGTGATATTCTGTGAACTGTGTCAGCCAAGTCGCTAATTTATTTTTAAGTAAGCTACAGCCAAGAAAACAATTTCTGTGAGCTCCTAAGGAATAGGATAATGAGAACAAGTTTACAATAAGATAGTCACAGAAATTTGCACACTTGATTTCTTAAAAATCTACATCCAGGCCAAACTAGCATGGAATATTCACATAATTGTCTCCTCCATTTTGTTTTTTGTTCTTGTCCTCAATTCAAAGTGCAGACTTTAAGGACTTCATACCTTATCGTTTGCTTTTTTTGTTGAATTTGTGGATGGAGAAAATAGTCATCTGTTTATAGGTTGGGTGGGGGGTTTTTTTGTCTCCGATAAGTAGAGGTGCAGTGGAACTTAAAACTTAGGCAGGATAGTTATGTTTGCATAGGCTGTTGTGTCCACTGCAATGTCGTATCAGGTATAGCACTAAAGCTCTAGGTCTGTATCTTAGGGAGCACAAAGATGTTGCTGTATGTTAATACCTATTGAAAAGTAAAAGGATTTTCACAACATTGGTATGAAGTAGTGTTTAAAAGGTAATATCAAAAATATTGGTCCCAAAGGCAGTGGTTTCTTAGGTATATGTCAGATTTCATCCTTAAGATTGATACCTTTTACTTAAAGAAACACTGGGGTTTTTGTTCTAATGAGGTTTTTAAGAAAAATTGAATATACTCAAGCCTTCTGTTTTAATTTATTTTGCAGGTTTACCTCCAGACATTACAAAAGATGAATTTATACAAGTCATGTCAAAATGTGGCATTATTATGCGAGATCCTCAGACAGAAGAACACAAAATCAAACTGTACAAAGATAAGGAAGGAAATCTTAAAGGAGATGGTCTCTGTTGCTATCTAAAGGTCAGTGGTGCACTGAAATGCAATTTTCCTTCTGCTGAAGATACTTGTGGCCACTGTTCCAGAATCATAGTCAGAAGATTCTTGAAATATCTGAAGTATAACTTAGAATTTAGGTGTCTGTTTCAAAGATTTATTCCAGAAACTCCCACTTACCTGCTTGTGCACCTCATTCCTTTCCTCTCATCCACTCCCATGCTCCCCCTGAAAATGTCCGTAATACCAGCTGAACGTGTCTCTACACGTTCCTGTCTTGGGTGCCAGTGATTATGGGGTGAAATGGGCGACCTCGTCACCTTTTACTTTGAAAATAGGCCACTGTGTGGCCAAGAACACAGAAATAACAAGGCAGGAAGGAACATACTGTAGTCCTGTATTTACAGCTTTTAGTTGAGAACTGGTTAGGTTCCGAACTGTTCTTGCGTTGTGTTAACCTAGAAAAGTTTAGGCTGCAGTGCTATTTCCTTCATGTGTTTCACATTTGGAAAGTTAGTGCTTGCAAGTGCAATCTACTTTAATTCTGCAAGAAGCTCCAGGCAATACTAAATCAACTGCCTTGAAGTCTGTGCTGGTTTTGTAATTTTAGTAGTTAGGGCTGTTCAGTGCACAAGTATAAAGACAGTCTCCACTTTAAAGGCCGTTTAGGAAAATGTTAAAAGTTAGTCTGAACATCTGCTGTTCTTGGAAAAGTGATAGAAGCTCTATAGAAAATCAGCTTGCTTGACCATTACAGATCAGTCTGTGATGTATTTGAATGAAATGTATGCAGTTGCTTTTGGGAGCATTAATCTCCTCTAACAGTGGTGAAGAAATACTCACTTTTGATGAAAAAACCATTACTAGCTGTGTGTCAAGAGACTTGGAAGAGAGATGGCATTATGGTTTTTAGTGGCAGGGAATTGATTCTTTGCACGGTATTTTTAAATGTTATTGGAGTAATTTGACTACGCCATGTGCTTTAAAGCTTGTGTTCTGTTTTATCTTCAAATAGAGAGAATCAGTTCAACTTGCACTGAGACTTCTGGATGAGGCAGAAATTAGAGGCTATAAATTGCATGTTGAAGTTGCAAAGTTTCAACTGAAGGGGGAGTATGATGCAAGCAAAAAGAAGAAGAAATGTAAAGACTACAAGAAGAAGTTGTCTCAACAGCAGAAGTTTGTATTTTTTATTTCAGTAAAACATTGCTTGAGTTCTAAGTGCTATTAGTAAAGTGCTGCTTTTTCTTTCAAATGTGATGCTAAGAGTTATGCAAAAAATTGAAGTCCTATCTGACTGCTAAATAGCTTAAATAATACACATTTGGAGGGGAGAAACTCCTAAAGGTTGACATAATGAACTTCGTCCTGATTGACACATTAAAATAATACATAGTGAACCAAGGTCCTTTCAGTTACAGAAGAAAATATTACAACTCTGGGGAGAAAAGACTTTTTTTCCTTAGTGTGTGAGTGTGCAAGTCCTGTCAACATATCTAGGATTACTTTTATAAGGTAATAACACTCTGGCTGTCCTTTACTGTTTGTACCATACTTTAATAGTTGCAAAGGGCAAAAGGTGCTAGCTTCCATGGGAGCAAATACTAAAACATCTCTGTAGATTCCCCCCCAGACCTCTCTTTCTGGTATAAGATATGCTGGGTTTTTTGAATTGTACCTAGATTCATGCTTTTGTCACTTAAAAGTTGTTCTGCCTTTTGGAACCAAGAAGATGCGGATTAAAGAAGAAGTTTAAGTATATTGGACTCAATATTTTAATAAAAGCAGCATTTCACTAAATGTTTTAAATATTAATGCAGAAGTATTTTGCCATAGTTAAAGCGAGCAAAGTCTACTTGACATCAATTAAAAATAAAAGTAGATTGAAATGTATCTGCCTCAGAGATACACTGCCAGTTCTTGCTATAAGAAGTCTTCAGTGTGGAGGGAGAAGTATGAAAATAATGGACTTGCATTTGACAGCAATGATCTGACTTCAGTTGGTGTTCCTTTTGAGTGGAAGAGCATAATTTACTTGCTACTGTCTTCATTGGAAATCTATGTTTTCTTCATCTGAAGTGGCAGATACAAGAAGGAACTTAAACAGGATTTTTTTTCCTCCTAAATATAAGATATTGAGATTTAGAAGTGTAAGTGAATGTGTCTGTTTTGTTTTGTTTTTTGTGATAAGATACGAAGTAGACATTTCTAACAGAAGTATCATTTTTCATGAGAAGGCAAAGTCATAGAACCTATGCGCTGAGTTCCATTGTTTGTTTGTGGTGGCTCTGTACACTGTAGAACAAAACACATCTTGCTGCAGTGCCTGTGTTAGACTCAAGATGTTCTTGCGTGTTTGTTTGGTAAAATTTAACTACTTCTATTTAAAGGGAATTGTGGATCTCCTTTTTTACAAAATAAGTTAAAAAATGCTAAAATATTGACATTTGTATTATACTTGGCAGCAGGTGGTTCCTGTATCTGAGCTAATATTAGGAAGCAATTAAAACTTGAAGATTGTTTTTTCAATGTTTAAGCAAATGCTTTGAGTTTTAAAATAATTTATATTCCCTGTATGAGCATTTAAGTACCTTAAAACCTCCACTGCTTTGTAGAAGTGGTAAAACTGGATGATTATCGCAGTTTTTAGAAGAGTAACTTACTCTTTGTGTCAAAATACATGTTTTAGTTGATGTATTGCAAGAAATGCCAAATTAATGATTTTTTTTCAACAAATACTTGTAGAAACTGAAGAGAGCCGCAACAATATCTTCTTACTGTTGCTTCATTTCATTAGACAGCTGGATTGGAGGCCTGAGAAGAAAGATGGCGCAACTCGAATGCGACATGAACGCATCGTTATTATCAGGAATATGTTTCACCCAAAGGACTTTGAGGTAGGAAGATGCAGTCTGCTGCTGTAGATTATGTTGTTATAGTTAATATTGTCTGAACTTTCTGCCATAAGAATTTTAGCAAAATTCTGGGCAGATGAGAACAAAATTAAACTTACTGTTTGGGCAGGGTTTTTCCCTGTGCTGAGCATCTGTTTAAAATTCATTCATCTATTTCCAAAAAAGCAAGACAAAGATACATGTTTTTCAGATCAGCCTTTTTCACTGTGTATCCTGACAGTATTCCTTTTTGGGATGGAAAGAGGAGTGGACAGTAAGTGTGTTAGAATGGACAAGCCAGCATAAAAGCCTTATTAATAAGTAACATTTATTAAATTCAAATAAGAGCTGTCTGCCAACTCCCAAGTGGCTTTGAAAATGCAACATAACACTGAATTTCTGAACTTTTAATAGATTGGCAGATGCATTCCATTGGTGATTGAGCAAAAATGAAGCTGAGAAGTGCTTCTGTTTAATCTGTGATTGCATTGCAGGAGGATCCCTTGGTGCTAAATGAGATCAGAGAAGATCTGCGGACAGAGTGTGAAAAGTTCGGTCAAGTGAAGAAGGTTCTGATATTCGATGTAGGTGTTTTTTACAGGTTGCGTTGGCAGAATTGCTGTAATGTGTAAACGTGCAAAACGTTTAGGATTCTTTAAATATGAGTGGAGCATTTACTTGGTTTTGTGTGTTTATGTGCTGGAAACTTGACCTAATCTTCCACTATTTTAAAATTAGCTGGTTTGGAAATTAATTTATAAGCACCTATCTACTTCAGCCTATGTGAAGGCAAACTCATAACTCTTCCCAAGAACTTGGATACGTGTCACAAATTTGGAAGTTTATAAATACATTTATTTGTGGCTAAACTAGCTGAAATGCTTGTTTTCTGTGTTCAAAAAGTCTGTTCTGAGTTCCTATGGAACACAATGTGTAAACTTGCTAATTGAGTTTTTTCATACGTGATTGTGTAAGATCAGGATGGAGCTATATCCTGGTGGATTTTTGTAAGACAATCTGAAAGATCTTGGAATAAATACACTATTTAGAAAACTATTAAATGAAAGTTGTCTCTCCTTACAGCGACACCCTGATGGCGTGGCTTCTGTGTCATTTAAAGAAGCAACAGAAGCTGATCTGTGCAAGCTAACTCTAAATGGAAGGTGGTTTGGTGGCCGTCAGCTGAGTGCTGAAACATGGGATGGTGTAACGGATTATCAGGTAGCCTTTTGTGGTCCTATTTCATCAAATATTTCTTCCAAACTGAAAGTCTGTTTTAATTTGAGAAGTGCTTGGTGTTCCCATACCCTTCCCACCCCTGCCCCATCGTGCTTCTTGTCAAATACTGCTGGGATGTCTCAGAAAAATCATCTTTAATTATTCAGTTCAGCAAAAATTTAAAGGACCTGTTTGATGTTAGAAATTGTGTGTTGGAGATGCCAAGTTGGAGGATTAGTTACTGGATGTACAGATCAGTAGTTCACAGTCAGCGAGACCTATGGAAGTCTTGAGATATTACTGCAATATAAGTGTATAATTTTATCTGTGTAAATATACATTTTTACAAGCATGGTTTTGTATTGATGCATACAAACGTATTTTTAATAGGTGGAGGAGACTGCAAGAGAAAGGGAAGAAAGGCTCAAGGTGTGGGGATCATTTTTAGAGGATCCTGATGCAAAGGAGCAGCAACCTACATCTGATTCGGATTCTGCAACAAGTAGCGTTAAACTGCCTGAAGGCAGACAACCTTCAAGAGTTAATGACACATCTAAGGATGTAAATGATGAAGCCCATAAGAGGGAGAATAATGGTGAGGGCATTAATGAAGATGGTGCTCCATCTACAGACAGCAGCCTTGCAGGCAGTGATGTTGAAGCAGATACATAACATCTTTAATGCTTTATGAAAGCATGGTTTTTAGGGTGATGTTTGAGTTTATCCCTCTCTTCAGGGTGACTGCAGACAATGTTCGTATGAATATATGCATATTAGAATGTCATCAACTGTGTGCTTTGAAGTTTTCATTAAAAGCAGTATTTAATGAGATTCTAAAAGTTTGTATTAATTGGCTGTTCAGGTAAAGTAACTCAAGTTGCCAAGAATGCAGTAAACTCATCAGGCTTCTTCTGTTCTAACTATGCTTGTCAGTGTTCCATTATGTAAGTGTGAAATATGTTCCAACCCTTAAGTTTATGTAACTATATGTAACTTAAGTAATGCAAAGCTATTACAAGATCTGTGGATTTTACTGTTAATTTTCCTGTACCCCTTGGAACTTGGTATCTCGTCCTTAAAAATTGTACTCTTGTCCTGAGTACTTCGGATTATTTTATGGAACAGGTGCTGTGATACATACAGGGTGAATGCATTGGGTATGTTGCTATGCATTAAGCAGCAAATGGTAAGGGTAGTACCAAGTTGAAAATGTAAAGGAAGTGGAAAACAAACAAGGTTGCCATAGCCAACATAAGGCAAACTGAGTGAAGATAGATTATTAAATCGCAGCATTTGGTAAATACCTCTTTCTTCCCCCATTTAGATCTTCTGTTGAGGCTGGAATTATGTCAAGGAGACTAGAAATGCATGAGCACAGACATTCTAGGCCATAATGAAATAAGACTGATCTTAAACTGGTGGTCTGTATGCAGTAGGTACGCAAAACAGGCTTTTGATTGATGGGTTGGCTCTGTTGAGTTTTTATTTCAATATTGAGTAAGGGGTTTCGTTTAACTTTGTTAGAATGATGAGTGTGAGTTCTCGTCAACATTTTGGGTTAGCCTTACGTGCTCTCCAAAGTGGGGAGGATCTCCCATATTTCATAAAACTTTAAGGCTTTTGGCAACTTGAAATACAGTTTGTTGTGCAAAAGTTAGAAACTTGAAAATACGCTTTCAAATAATACTCTTTTATATGGAAAAACCAAATGCTAGCCCTCTTAGAAATATTTCCAAAAGAAGGATTTAGAAGACGTTCTAACTTTAGATATCTTAATAAGTGGCAGGCTTTCAAAAATAACTTTGGGGGAGCTGTTTGGGCATAGTTGTTCTTAATTTAGAATCCCATTTTTTTGATACCTAAGGATAGAATATGGATTTAGGCACCAAGAAAATATTGGTGCTAAATTCATAGCACGCTGTTCATATGGATGGTTACTAGTGCACATTTGTAAGGAGGATCTTTCTGAATTTTTTTAATACATATGGATTGCAAGAAACCATAGATGCTAGTTGTTATATTTCCATCCTGAAGTATTCAGAATACTCTGAAAATTGATGTTTTCAAACTTTGTGCTCCGAGATTGAGATCTATGTTTTTTCCAGAAGTCTTTATGATACTCTATGTTTGTTTTGGTTGTTTGGGCTTTTTTTAATAGTAATCGATATGTATGGGTAGCTACGCCAACCAGAGCATCTAAGTTACCACTTGCCATTGTGGTTATAAATTACATCTTTTTGTGACAAAATGTCTGGTCTTACAACAGAGATGGTAGTTGAATTCAGGGTTTAAAAGTCTGTGGGCTTGTTGCAAGCTGGCATGACAAATTTCCAATTTTGAGTTGCATTCTAAAGAAGAGCTGTAACTCTTGCCAGCTAAGAAATACCATTTTCTCATATTTACAAGTGTGCAAAATGTACATTTCAGCAAAAAAGGTGTTCAAACAATTCAGGGAATCTGAAATACTGCCTGGTTTGTAGCTGCACATAGCAGCATATTCGTATTACAGCTCTGGGTTGTGTTGCTTCTGCTTTAGTTATTTTATTGGTAAAAAGCACCACAGACCTTTGAGTGCTTGAAGTTTTGGCATATGAAAAGTGTAATTTAGTGTGGTGTGTATTGCTTTCAGTGCTACTTTTTTTTTCTTCCAGCTTCTAGACTCCAGGCTTTAGATCTGTTAGGCTATTGTGTTTTGTTTGGGGTTTTTTGAGAGCCTAGTCATATAACACTCTACACAGTTCAATCACCTGTTTTACAGTGCAATTGCAACTGATACAGGGAACTATTGACAAATGTATAAATATTGTACAGTTCTATGAAGCCTTATCATGGTATCAGATATAAAAAATAAGGTTAGTGTTAGTGTTTGCAAAAAGACTTTGAAAAATAAAGAATCATTACATGTGCAGTAACCTTCCTCTCTCCAGTTGATGTACAAATTTGATTGGCTTGCTTCAAAAGTCAAACGTGATGTTAGTCTTTTCACCTTTTCCTCTAGACTTCACACTGAAGTGGAGCACCAACAAAGACTGAGACCAAATGCTTTACTGGCTTTCCTATTAACTAGGATCCTTAAGAAAATAAAAACTTTTTCCATGAAAATATGTTGTTCTGAAGTGCAGCATTACACTCAAACTGGTATTTTCCTTTTGTCTACCTCTTTATTCCCCAGTAAAATGTAAAAATATATTTTTATAAACTATTCATTGAGTTATTGAGGCATGTAATAATCTATGGAGAGGTTAATGCAGCTGTGACTTTCTTTTCAGCAGATTTTCATTGAGACCGAATTATTTTGATGTTTTCTTTTTTAAATGATGCGCTTTTTTTATAAATTAATCTGAACAACTAAAATTTTTCATAAAATTTTAAATTACTATTTTGAAGTGTGATTATGAAAATCTTGTAGTATAGCACAGTAATGTTTAATACCAAATTTTAACAAATCTGAAGCTGAACAAGCTGAGTTGCTTTTTAAACTTAATTTTTTCTGACTGAGCAGCATCGTAAATAAATTGGTAAGAAGTTAAAACCCCAATGAAATTTTCATTATATTTGTTCTTTAATTAAGCGTGCTTTCTAATGACTTGTCTTGCTCATTAGAAGTGACAAAATCAAACTTTTTGCTCAATTTCGAATTGTTCTTAGGTTCCATTCCAGTGTTCCAGTATACTGCACGTTCCTTCAGCCCTAGCCTTTTGCTGAGAGGTTCATTGGAGAAAAGCTGTCTCCTTCCCTCCGTATATTATGAAAACAGTAACTAGCAGCAGGTTGAAACAATTTGCAAATAATTGTGGTTGCTCAGTTTTGAACTAGAGAAATAGCTGTTGCTATTAATTTGCATAGTGTAATAAAATGGATGTGAAGTCACTTAAATAGAACAGCAGAGAAAGAGTATTAACTAACTGGTACTTCAGTGTACTGCAGCATAGATAATCACTTTCTTAACCACACAATACAAAATCAGTTGCTTAGCTTCAAGATAGATTGGTAGTTTGCTTTACCATCAAATGTTATTGAGTGGTTTGCTGGCAAGGTAATTGTGCAGAGTTACAAATATCCATAGAGATTTCACAGTTTGAGGAGCATGGCCCAGGTAGACATCTGGAAACAAAAAGCCCCAAAAGAAAAGGCTTGAAAGTTGTAGCAGGTTCTCGGGTGTTCATATACAGCTGTAAAGAGAGAATTAGTTTCATTTTGCATCAAAATGTTTATCTGTTTCTCCTGCTGACTTTTTTTAATTACTTTTTTTAATTGAATTTCAGTCCCTCGTACAACTTACATTTTGTATAAGGATTGCAATTCACTTAAAATCATTAGTGTGTTAAATGCAGTGCATTTTTAGCTAAAACTTGTCCTAGACATGATTCAGTTAAGGCTATTCTATTTACAATTACAAATTCTTAGCTTAATTCACTTAAGAAAACTTAAAGGTATTGGATGCTTCATAGAAACTCAAACTTGCCTTTAAATTTTCCACTAAAATCGATATCCATACCCTGAATTCTTGAACTGTATAACCTAATCAAATTAAAAAAAGATACATACCTATAGATTTTAATTGGATTTTAAATTCTTATTTTTATTTCTGAATTTGAGGAAACATACTGCAGTATGATAAATGAATTATGTAAGTTGTGTACTTGTGTTGATTTGACTTGTGTGTATTTTAGTGCTCATTATACAAGGCTTGAAGTCTTACTGTCAGGATACTCTGAAAGTTCTGTCAAATATTTATAGAATTATGAAATCTTTTGCAGCAAATTGTTTTTTGCTCATTCTGTAATATGAAAGTATATTGTTAGATTAAACTTTTCAGTAAGTTGACTTGGAATTTTTCTGACAGGTTATTTTCTTTCGTTAAATTGATCATTTTCACTTATCCTTTAGAAAACCAACATTTTAAAAAAATCCTTTGAATAGTATCTAGATCTGTGATAGCATCTGAGAATCCCTTGATTTGTCTTCAATTTTGTTTCTTAAAGGGGTTGTGTTTTATACTACCTTTTTAATAAACAAACTCGTGACCAAAACAAGTCTTTTCTGATTAGTTTTGAGATAATGTATTTGTCTTACTTTTTTCCTCAGTAAAAGATAGCCGTAGCATTGGATACACAGCGACTTCAGTTTATAAAGCATATCTGTTAATGTTCTAGAGGGTTCCAACTGCAGTCCAGGAGACATGTTGCTAGAACTGTAAGTGTTCACAGTGGGATGTGGCATTCGGTCCCTCTCTGTGGGTTTTGTCTCCGACTCCATTCTGGTTTGGTGCGTTAATGGACCTTGCATGGTAACAGGAGGAACAACTGCAGACACCAGGGTTACGATTGAGGGTGGGGGGGAGTTGTTAAGGACAAGCAGAATTTCAGTTTTTATTCTCAGAAATTATTTATTTATTTGTTGGTCGTTCAAAGCTTAACATTTTGAATGCTTAAAATGCACTGGAAATCAGTTGTTTCAATTCCTACATTCTAAAGGAACAGGGGTGATAATCCCATTTTTACCCAATAGTTCTTTAGGGTGTTCACCTCGGATCTTTAAACTGATGCCATCTAACAACCTTAAGTGCTTTAACCACCAACTTAAGGGGAAATTCTTGAATGAGGTCTTGAAAAGCTTCAGCAGAAGAAATCTCTGCTATATGAAACAGCTCAGGAAAGGGGATCAAAGAACGTGTGAGTGAGATGTTGAGGGCACTTGCCCTGCTGACGGACTGGAATCCAGTCTGTCTCACAACAAAAATGTGTTTATGCAAAGAGTGTGCCAATAAAAGGCTAAGCACCATCCCAGGAAATCTCACAGCCTGGTAGTTAAGTTGTTCTGGGAGATGGCAGAGGGTGGATTCATGTGTATTTAGGCAGAGGGAATTGGATTGTGCTCTCCTACTTTCTGACTGGGTCAGTAAACAAACTCTTGAACTACTGAGTAAAAGACATAATGTCACCAGTTTGGTGACTCGAGTTCCCCAGTGTGTTTTTCCAGCTGTGACTGGCAAATATGACCCTAATCCAGCATTTCTGGAATGGCTGCAATTTGGTAATTTTGGTTAACTTACTACATTAGAACTCCAAACTCCTTGTTTCTTGCTACAGCCCTTACAGAACAAGAACAATATCTTTATTTTCTGAAGATTTCTGTAGTTATTTCAACAGATCCAGCAAAGAGGAGAGAGAGAATTGGTTATTCAGCTTATTCTGGGATGGAGACAGGTGATCTTTTCCTTCTTGCAGATGTTTGTAGTTACACACTTAATGCTGAATATGCTATAACTTGGCATAGGAAAGTCCTTACTGATCCTGGCCAAGTTTGGTTCTCTGCCATAACTTATCATCTTACTTTCAACTCTTCCGAAGTCCAGACGCTGTCTTCTTTATTGTGTACACATTGTCATAAAAAAAAACACAAACCTACTTACAATCTTATTTTCCTCATTCCTGAAACCTCCTAACCTGGTTGACTTGTTGGAGTGCATTTCATGCATTCTTAACAGATAGGCTGAAGGAAACGCCTAGTTCACTCGCAGCTAGATTTTTTTTGTTCATGAACGTTGCTTGTCTCCTCCTGCAGTCACTGCAGAGTGCACACAGCCTGCTGGGGGAAGGATCCCAAACTGCTGGACACAGCATGACCGTCCCGCATCTGGAAAACCTTACTGGTGTCACACAACTCGTGACAGTGAGTTAAGGTAGGAGAATTAAATGATAACTTCAACGTATGTTCACTGACTTCTTCAAATGTTTCCTTACTTAAAAGGTACTTGATGAAAGAGAATGCCTACTTGGTAGATAATTGCTTAATACTTGGGAAGTGGAAATTTTTAAATTTTATTTATTTTTAAAACTGGTTTGGGCTGCATGAAACAAAGAACAGAGAGTTCCCTGTCTGATGCTATAGTGATGGGAAATTAATACTACTAGCAAGGGTGGGGAATGTGAAAAATACTGTGAAGTATTGTCACTTGTGGTGAGTAGTCAACAACATGTCTCTTAAACCTGTGTTGACCATGCATCCTTGTTCACCTGAAGGACAAATAACTTGGATAATTACTTGCACTATTTAGCCGTAATTAACCCATTCTGAGAGTAGTGTGAGGTGAGCTGAGTCCATTTCATCCTGAGCTCCACTTCTATGTTTTGACAGCAGCTTGTGGCAGATGCAAATCAGAAGGATTTCTGCCTTTTTTTGCAGACTTCCTGCTGGAAGACAGAAGAATGGGAAGTTGAGGTAACGAAGACCACAGTGCTCCAAATCTAAGTCCTGACTCTCGGGACATTAGATTCCTCATGTGCATATGATCACTGAGAGGACTGAGATATGACCTAGGTTATGTCCAGCCTTCTTATGACTACTTGTTGGAAAGCACAAGAGGTTTTTAAGGGAAGTGCAGAAAAAAAAAAATAGATAAGTGACCATTTTTTCTTTAAGAAAATATATATTATTTTTCTAGTGTTCTAACTACCGTGGTCACAATTCACACAAGCATAACAGCTGCTGCACACCAATAAACAGTGCTAAAGGAGCTTACAATTAATGTCACGAGCAAGTTAAGCACGTTAATAAAGTGGCACAAAGACACAACGGCTGGCTTGCACTGAGTGAGGAACAGGAAAAATAGACCTCTGGGCCAGAGCTAATGCTTTGTAAATTGTATGTTGGTACGTAGTGGTGGAGTGGTGTAGGAAGAGCCGGTTTGCTGCTTGCTGTTGAGATGGCTCGATATAGTCCTTTCTCAGGCCTTATGGTCGCTGGTGACTTTGCCAAGCTTTCACCGCTTGGGTTGGAATTTACAATGGCAAACGTTGGCATCCAGCTGAGCAACCAGAAAGTTTCTTAACCTAAACAGTGGGTTGCTTTCTAAAACAAGACTGGGCAAAAATAGTCTCTTCCTGTGCTTGTTCTTCCAGTTGTTTGGCTGAGTTGTGCTAGTTCCTGCTCCCCTCGTGGCCCTTGGGAAGGTGTAAATTGGGAGGAAGGTTTTTTGGTTTGTTTTCTGTGTTTGGGAAAGTTTGGTCAGTTTTAAAGTTCTGAAAGATTGTCTTCTGAATCAGATGACTGTTACAGAGTAGGCCCTTGCGTTTCCTACCTAGCAACCAACCTGTATGTGTCCCATCCCCACCACTGTGTTTAGGTAGACTGGAGGCTGGAGCCGGCGAAAGGATGCAAGAAGGGCAAAGCAATAGAAATCCTAAGATGAGGACTAGGAACTCTTGAGTTTGAATATAAATTAGTAGTTGACGACAGGTTGTTAGGGCTAGCTGAGCAAGGGACTATGAAGGGGGAGAACTGAGCAGAGAATATGGGGGGAGGTAGAGGTAACAAGCAAAACGAGACATAGAAGCAAATGATAAGCATAGACAAGAAGTTTGTAGATGAAGGTTTAAGCATAAAAAGGGGGATAGATTACAGCTGGATAACCTTAATCCTCCTGTTTCTTAATGTCTGAATACTTGGCTTTGCATCCTGAACAGTCTTTTCATGTGTAAGAAACACTGAGACACCATTTGGAGGCAGCCTTTGCAGATACTTCAGAATACTCTTTGAGACGCAAATGAGTGCAATGTTTATTAGGAAGCTTCTGAGGATTCGGAGATTTATGATTAGAAAAGAAATCAGATAAATGTATCAGAATAGGTTAAGCAACACTGCATATTGCAGTTAGTTGGCTGGAAACACAAATCTAATGATTTATTAGGTTTTGCGTGATACAACTGGCTATCGGCCAAAGGTTCCCCTGTCTGAAAAATAACAGCCGCCTTTTTGCTACCAAGGTAAATCAGTTGTGCTATGCGGTGTGATGAGCTGACAATAAGGCTGGAAAATTGAATAGAAACAGCAGGCACTTCTCACTGCATTCATAGCATGAGCATTGCTAAATATGATTTTGATTACAGCAGAACGTACAAGCTCTGGTTGTAGAACTAGCTCCCCTGTGGCCAGCAACTGCACAAATGCATAAAAATGATGCTTCTCCAGGGTAAGCAGTGATGTTCCTTGTCCTACTCTTACCATATCTGGCAGCAGAGATTTTTAAGGAGAACAAAAAGGAGTCTTATAGTCTTCTGTTGACTTCCTGCAAACTATTTTAGAGTAATTCCTGCCTTAAATCTTCTGGTTGAGCCACAGTGTGTGTTTTAGCAGTCTTGCTACCAAAGTTTAAAGCAACTGGCAGACCCACCATGTTCCTAGGTAAGTTATTTCAAACAAAAAAGGGGTTTTGTTTTGATTTTGTTTTTTTTTTTTTAACTTGAATTTGCCATAATTTGAATTTTCAGTAATTCAGTCTGAGTGTCTTTTTCTAACAGGTGAAGAAACTAATTACTCTCAGAAGTCTTTTCCTTGTGGAGGTCTGTGTTGACAGTGATCAAGGTACTTCAAACTTTATCTAAATTTAGTGTTATTTTAAGCGCCAATGAATATTTTTTCTTCTTTAATTTTTTTTTCTCTGTCAATATGTTTTTTGAACAATGCAAAAACCAGAATTGGGCAAAGCATTTTGATAAGTTCATCCTGAACTTCATCCAGTGTTAATGCCACCTCTGAATTATTTGCCTAAGTGCTTCAGTTCTTTCAGCACAGTTCCATCCTCGGGGCGTATTTGCACAGTACTAAGTCCTACACCTAGGGGCATAAAGAAGGATGAAGTAAGGGTGAGAAATGACAGCTGGTGGACAGATGTGCTCGTTTTATTCTTCAGTAGAGCCGATGCTATGGCATTGATAGGTAACTCATACCAGGTTGGTATCCATCAGGCCCTCTGCATCTCTAAGCCATTCACTGCTTTCAAGATGCAGTATCCCTTACTCAAGTTGCATATTGCACAGTTATATGAAACTTAGAGCTCACCACCAAAAGATAGCACATTGAACAAGGTAAAGACTAATTGGACTCAAGTCGTCTGATTGGGGAAAAAATGCATTCCCATCACAATTCTGAAAAATGTAGTACATATTTATTGAAAGGTTTCTCCTTTTGTTTTATACTTAAAGTGCGCAGTCTGTGGTGAGCC